AAGGGAGTTCAGTGATAATTTCAGTCCTTCAGAATAAATACGGTGAGCCAGAGTAAACGTACCCTAAATAAAACATCCGTAGAGTATCCAGGACATCGTCTGAATATCATTCTCTTATAAGTTTTAGTGTATTTGAAAACTAGCTGCATCCTGAATATAAAACAGGAGCTATTTCTTATTGTCTTTTTAAGCCACAGTATCCACCAGTAATCTGATCTGACACGCATGGTGAAAAGGCCACAGCAATCTCCTGGAATATCTTTCATTAAATAAATATTGAGATCATCTGGTGTACTTATGCTTGTGGGAGTCTGTATGGTATGAAATATATGGAGGTTTTCAGCTTGTTTAGAGTAGAGGACTTTAGAAATAAACCAAAATTGAGCAATTTTTGTTTGTTTGAATCCTGGAATGTAAGTCCTACAGATATTTGTTTCTTCTGTGCTTTCAGTACTTAAGGGCTAGTCAGGCTTCATCTTCTTTGACAGCTCACCTCTGATTAAGCATGTGAACTTTCCCATCTTGTGGAGGCAGTATAGCAACCATGTGTTATTTCGTTCCGTCTGTGTTCCCAAGTTGGTGCACTTTAAAAGTAGTGGAAGAATATAACCGGTGTCATTCTTCTGAATGTTTTTCATTACTCTAGTTTTAGGAAGATAATCCAAGTCAAGGTGACAGGACTGAGCCTTTACCTGCCTTGACACGCAATTAAATCCTCACTGGGGCAGTATTTCACTAGAAGTGAGTATGTACACTTAAGACTGGAGATCTGGAGACTGAAGATGAAGAAATGGAGTGAGCAAAAGCACAAAATAAATGCAAAACACCCTCTTGCTGGAGGCAAGGAAAAAGCTTCCTGCTATTAATCACCTTTTTAATCAAAGTTCCTTCAAACAGTTGTTAGAAATTCAATAAAAGCAAAGCTTGTTTCAGTTCTGCAATACAGTAATGGCCTTTAAAGGTTAAACACTTGTTTTAATTCACTCTTTATTTCAAATGCTGTTAGACTGTCTAGCTTAAAGTTTTCAAGTTACCTGGGTGAATAGAAGATGAAGGTTTTTATTTTGTTACCTGAGATGTACCATGTCGGTTTCCACTGTGTAATCATTATTTGCCCTTAAAACTCTTAACATTAAAAAATTGTGTATTAAGGTTACTAATGGTCTGTTTAAAGTGTGTAGGTGCCTCCAGTTCTGAGCAACTTAAGATGTTTGGTTCTAATACCGATGCACTTGGTATTGTGTCTTCGTAAGAAAGAGAGAATCAACATTTTCTTTTTTATTTATTTTAGTTGGGAAAGTGTTATTTCTATCTGTACCGGAAGTCAATGGCAAACAAAAAAGTTTAAACAGAATTGTTGTTGGAAGTGCACAATTTTAAGAACCCATAGAGTATATGCAATTTGATTGGAGAAATTGTTACAGACCCTGACACCATAAACCATAGTTTAAATTCCACAACTCAATTAAACAAAAAGAAAATAAACCTTTCTCTTATGTGTTGCTTAGTATGTGAGGCTCTTCAGTCAAGATATTTTAGTAATGGAATGCTATGTTCAATCTGGTTTAAGATTGAAAGTCCCTTTCTTAAGTGTTTGGATGTGTTAACCTGAGCTATCCAGATACAGTACTTCTGCTGTGTAAACCAGATTAACCTGATGTGCCTCTCACTCCTGCTCTCAGTGCAACTTGACAACAGAAATGCTGGTGTGACATCTAGAGATGGGCAGAAGTCTATACCTGATCATGTTGAACTGGAACGGAGTTTGCTTGCCGAAAGATGAGCTTGGTGTCTTAGATAAAAGTGCTAAACCATTAAGAAAATATTTAGCCCCCACCTAAAAAATGTCATTTTAGAAAACAAGGCACTACGATAAAAGGTGATTGTCTTCTATTTTGTTTCGCCTTTTGTTTTGTGATCCCACATCCCTCGGCTCTGTGTTCCCTTTAAAAAGACCTAATGGTGGCAGTAGTTCCAGAACTTCCTGAACTGCCACATTCCAGCTAAGCACATTTTACTGCGTGTGCTCACCAATCAGAGGGAACGTTCTCCTAAGCCCTTGTCATCTGGGCTGGCGTTTGTGTCTTTTGCCACACACTCTGCCACAACATGGAAAGGACTGGAGGATTTTGAGGACAGTGCCACATAGACATTTTAAGAAACTACAGAAGGTAGGATTTGCTTTTTACTGCCAGTTTTAATGTTTGGTCACATTAGAGAATAGTCTTTTAAAAGTTAAAGTATCTTTTTTTAGAAGGAATAGAACAGTTGTATTATTGTTAGGTCTTTTGAAGAAAAATTTAAGAAAATGATACATTTCCGGACATGTCCAGTGCATGGGTATAGTGCTGTAGATTAGGATTTCTGTTGTGTTAATAAAATATTAGTTGGAAGTGCATTCCTTTTTAAAATCTGTTTGTTCCCCAGTTGTTAATTATGTATTAATTTATAAGAAGCTGTATGCTACATGTCCATATGTTTTTACTGTCCTTATACCCCCTTTGAAGAGAAATCATTACATCTGCATCAGGGTCCTTAGGCACCAAATTCTCAGATGATTTGCATGATGCAGTTTTTGTACCGCATTAACAAAGAAACAGATGTAAGCTAAACATTGGGTGTGGCCTGTTGCCTCTAAGGTGCATTACAAACACAGCAAAGAATAAGCCATTTAGTGAGCTCATCTAAAGGCATGCAAGATGTTCCAGAAATCCATGACGGTCCTGAAATTATTCCAGAGAATATGTCACAAAGGTTAAAGATCGCAGATGTTCCCCACAGCAGGGAGGGCTGCATACAGCTGTCTGGAGCAGTTGGAGGTGTGCGGTGATTAAGTGGAGCTGGAATGGAAATGGTTGTCTTGGGCTTTAGTGCCAAAAGATCTGCAGGAGTAGAGCATGTGCAGTCTACAGTAAGTTGTATGTGTGCTGTGTGCTGTGTGCATATAATGCTTTGCTGCATTTATGATCTTCCTGGATGATGTACCATATTATAAAGTCCAAGGAGAACTGATGATATTGACCTTAAAACCCTTTTCAGTGTCATTTCAGCCTGTTTTAAATACTAACAGTAGCACAATCTCAATGAGATAGTAACAGAAAAGAAAGGGTGATCATTTGTCTACATAAAGCAAAATTATTTTTTCCCTCATTATTCTGAAGAAGAATCTTCACAAATTAATTTAACAATGAATACTGTATAAGTTTTGTTTTCCAGAACGCTTGTATGTTTTCTAGAATTTAGACTGTTGACTGACAAATTCTGGATTTGAGGGATCTATTAAAATTCAAAGCTAAAAACGACTGAGATTTCCTGTTACAATAATTTGCAATCATTATAAGCAATGGTTAAATACTTCTGACAAATTTGTGTTTATGTAAAATGGACAGATTTATTATTTATAACTAATAAAACCTTGAGAGACGATCATCTCACAAATATTCTTAGGATGTTGGGCATGAAGCAGATCCTAACCTGTCAGTTGTAGTTGTAAACTAATACAGAGTGAATCCTTTGGAATGGAAAATTTTATTTTGGAACTTCTTTGCAAGTTGGTTTTAATTATCCCCCGATTCATATATCAGCTCAGTTTCTTGCAAGGTTCCCAAAGTGCAGAGTCATATTAAAAAAATGTGAGCCTTGCATTCATTCATTATTCTAAAATGTAACCCTACTTGTTCCAAGTAGTTAAAATTCAAGCTGACAACAGTTATCCTGCACTGGCTAACACCCAAATACCAGGGTTTGCTTGAGTTTCCATTCCACTGCCTCTCAAGAACAATTTTATTTCACTTCACCCACACCAGCTGATCAGAAGTCAGTGGAAGGAGGGAAAAGATAGTAGTTATTTGTACCTGTAATGTTTGTTCATTATTCTTTCTACATGAGTACAGCTTGTAACAGTTCCGGGCATTGACACAGTCTTTGTAACCAATATATACTGTACATGCAGTCCATTGGCTTTTTCCTTGATATTAAACAAATCAAAGTAAAATTATTTGAAATAATTTCCTTAATTGTGGCTGCGCAGAACAAATATGCAAAAACAAATCTTGTGTAGTCAGTTAACACATCATAATAAAAATAAAAATGTTTAGTATTTTTGTTGTGATTAAATGTAGAAAACATTTACTCGATTTACTGATATTGGCCCACATACTTTATGTAAGTGGGCCACAAAATCACCATGTTTAAATTGTGAGGCTTATATAATTTGTATAAGAATGCAATTCTCAGTTTGTGTTAGTTGTCTTTGAAGTTACATTTCAACGTGTGGAATATGTTTTCATAGCATTTCTTTAGCAATATTCCTGTAGTGAGTGGTTTATCTAGAGTAGATTGTAGATAAGTGTGTGATGATAATGTTACATTGTAGTCATACAGGGGAGTCTGTGTCTCTTTCCTGTGGCAGATTGAGGCTTTGAAAAATACAGAGCACAGTATTCCAGGTGGTTAGTAGAGTCCCAGATGCATAAGCAGCCTGTTATTTATTATTTATTTTGTGGCGGTTGCAACTGTTAAGTATTCTCATGATTTGTAAACACACCTTGCTTCTGGTAGCACAAGACAGTCACAGACATGATTGCATTCATTTGAAAGTAAGTGGGCCAAAAAACAACTTTTTTTTTAAAACGTGTAAGTGATAAACCAAATAAAGTAAACCAATTCATGGGGAATATAAGTAAGGTACAAATGAGAGGAGACCTTTTGCTCATTTAGACGTCTGACAGTTTTAATTTAACTACAATAATTCTTATAAAAAGAAGAACATTTCAGAATTTACATTTTCATAAATTCTTTCATTAATATCTGCATAAATTACATACAGTTCTCCCCTTTTTTATCAGCCAATAATTTTTTACATCTCTGGATCCCAACATTCTTATTCCTCTTTTCTTGATAGAACTTTTCTTTCTTCTTCAGCACAGCATGAAGCAGTGAAAAGTGTTAACTTCAACAGCTGTTTGGAATTGGCTAATGCGCTTTCCCTTTCTCTGCAGATCGTGCTGAAAGAAATAAACCAGAGCAGCGTCTTTCAAGGTAAGGTGCTTTTACTGCTCCAGCCATTACAAAGAATGCAGTCATTGGTCTTTTAGAAGATGTGGAAAATGCCCACTACATATTATCTCCATGGCCACTGAGCTGTGTTCCTATGGTCTTCTTGCAGGATACTGACCGCTGTTTAAGCTGCCTAATAATCTTTTAATTCCAAGATACTGTGCCTTTAAACAGGGTATCACCAGTGACCAATGTTACTTTGTTTCCTGTTTTTTTTGTGGAGGGATAAGATCAGGGAGTATCATTAATTATGCAGCTAAACAGGCATGTTGTTTATTCTAATATGAAGCTACTGTAACTGGCTTTACCTGTGAAAGGGAAGTGAAGATAGCCCAGGCTCAACGAAATCCCATTCAGATGCATTTCACTTAAGATTGAGATTTCAATTCAACACTCCTCTTGCTCTCTTTCTGAATTCTCATTTAATGACGGCAAACGTTGATTTAGATATGTTCTTATATTCAAAAGAAGCACAAATGTACCTCTGCTACGGATCTGTTCGCAAGCACCATACACAGATTGTTTTTTAATTTACGACTAACGTTGTATTTCCAAAGCAAGGCTATGTAAAAGATTAGAAACTTGCCATTGGTTTTGGGAGTGGGTTTTTTAGTACACTAGCTAACCCATCCTGCTTCTTTTGCACAGGGTGTTATTTGTCTATTCATATTTAATTAGTACTATTGCTTTGAAATTTGATCTGCAAGTACTAGGGCTTAATGAACGATACCCCCTTCAGTGTTTTCCTGGTTTAGGAGTCTGTGGCTTATTATATGTATAGCACTTCAGCTGTGATTTGATGTTCCATTTATAGTTGGAAAAGTTAAACCCATGTGCCACTGCAAATGAAAACAAAAGATACAAAGCAAAAAAAACAAGTGGAGGACCCTGATTAAAATGTGGATTTTCTGTAGATTGTCTTCTATAAGAAAGTATCCAAAAAACTGAAAAGTGATTGCTGAGAAGTATATTAATAAACCTGTGGCTTCGCTTATGATGCCTTTATTCTGAAACAGGGTAGTGAGAGTTTATTAGATATGTATAAGATAAAAAATAATGACTCTACTGATTCTTAGCTTTCCAGTAAACTAATGAGTTTGGAATTCCATGCAATGTCCTGTGCAATTCTAAACTGGCATTAAACAAAATTGGTCCTGGTAGCTGGTGACTGAGAAGGTAAGAACACCCCATTGTGGAACAATCAGCAGGGTTCTGGACTTGTAACTGGAAGGTCATGGGGTGAAATTCCAGCACCACTGTTGTATCTTTTAGCAAAGTCTTTAATTGCCTCACTTGTATAAGTGTGTGACTCCATAGAGGAATTGGTATCGTCTAACAGGTGGATCTCAGGCAGCAGGCACACAGACACTGCTGTAAGGAAAAACACAGTGCTCCTCATCCATACAGTGAAGCAAACCTGGACAAAACCCAAACTCCTCTTGAGCTCTATAGAAAATGTTTCGATAGTATCCTTAACTGCCAGGCAGCTAAGTTGTGTGCTGGCATCAATAATCAAAACACACACAAGGATCAACCAGGGACTGACACTTCCTTCTCTTTCTGGTGTAGCACATAACAGTGAATCACAAACAGTGGATTACAAATAAGACAAATAATAAATAAGATTCCTATATGAATTATATATTTTTGTAAATGTAAAATTTGACACTTGTCTGGTTAGGTCAAGCTTTCCTTTTGTAGTGGAATGTAATTGCATTCTTGATGGCAGATTTGTATTCATCTGCTGGTTTCTCCTTTGCAAAATAGCTTTCACATCTCATGGAAAACTTGTGTTGTCTTGGAAATAGATTAAGTGTTTATTTTGCACTTTCAATGTTTGTTGATACCTTTGCTCTCCACAGGAGGATGTGTGGGAGTTTCGTGTGATGGAAACTGTACTGGCATTTCTCCATTTGACCAGTTCAGTCAAATTCATACTGTGGAGTACAGAACGTAGGTGTGTCATGCTTGGTTTGATCTTCGCATGCAGTTTGATTCTGTGCTGAAGCTGAGAAACTTCCTACCATGTTGTACAGTCTAGCCTGACAGTAAATGGAGAATTCTCACCTTAGGCAAGATCTGCAAGAGCCTAACATGGAATGGAAAAGATTAATGGGTAGTCTGAAATAATGGTGACATTGTGCATGAAAGTATCTTGTTTGTACTATTCTTAGAGAGCTGTTAATAAAACTGGATAAGAAGTGAAGTGAAATTTGCTACTGTCGTTTTTGGCAAAAAACTAGATGTTCTTCATTTTGTGGTGAAAATTAGAAAAGTAAAACCTTGTTTGTTTCTACACACTAAAATAGCGCCCCATTCAAACCTCTTTAGAGTTTTTAAAGGAAACGTTCTTTTTTTGGTTTATTGTAGTTTTCTTCATGCAGAAAACAAAGATTTAAGCATTTTGATTTTTTTTCGCTTGTTTTTGTCATATGACATACAGCATGTTCTGGGATATTGCTGAACTATTGATCTTGAAAGCACTGCTGCATTTCTACATTTAATGCAGAAAAAATGAATTAAGTGCCTTCCTGGTGAACATTAAACCCTCTATATAAAATGTTTTAATACCAGACTATACAGTTCTCTACGTATGCTGATTAAGGAGGTTAATTCATTTTTGTCTTCATTTTATGTGGAAATATTTTTGGTTCAAAATTGTCCTTAAATCTGGTCTGACTATTTTCCATTAATGACTGTGTGTTTAGAAAATGAGTGTCACTAGCATTCCCTAGCAATTAGGTTTTCAGTGAAGGATTATAGCGTGGTGTGTACTGTGGTAATACAGGTAAGACATCTGAAGAATTTCTTTTTGAAAATTGAAATTGTCCTGGGTCAGCAGAGAAATGAGTTTCACATCTTACGTATTAAAGTTTCATCTCAGGAACTGCAACATGTCAAAGAGACTTGAGGTATCTGTTTGAATTTTTCCAAGATTTGGAAAAAAAAATTGTGATTGTTTCAAAACCTCATGCAGCAAATTTCCATTTAAGTTTTTTTTTTATTGTCACATGTCATTGTTTTTACTAGTACCGTGATAAGTTGAGATCTGCAGCCAATGAATGAGACATTATTAGAAGTAAGTGCTCTCTAGAAACAAAAGCAGTGAACAGGAAAGGACTAAGGCAAAGTCAAGTCTTTGGAGCTGTAAAGGCAAGAAATGTAGAATTATTAAAAAATGTACTCTCATGGTAAAGAGTGGAATGGTGTCTAATATAAAACCTAGAAACAGTCCCAATAAAGCAAACTAAGGTTTAAAGCAGGTTTAACCTTAAACATTGGAGGTTAAATAAATGAAAGAAAGACAAGAAAAGAGTGCAGTCCTTCATATCTCCGATCACTCCTGTAAAACTTTAAGAAGTGGAAAAGAGGAATTTTGTTTTCTCTGGTGCTTAGCTTTCTAATTTGTTCAAAATGATAGGCATTAAGAAGAGGCTTAGTCCACACCAGAACACACTGGCCCAATGGATATCCTACCTTTGAGCAGACTAAGACTTACTCCCTGGTCTATCACAGGATCACCCCCCTGCAGTGCTTGTCCCCACTTATATAGCTGGGTAGACAGCAACTGAGATTCGACCTTACTCAAGGGTACAACAGCAGTATCTACTGTAAGGAGGTGACCCACAACCTGTCAGTTATGAGACCAGAGACTTGCCTGCTGCACTATGCTGTCCCCTGAAAATGAGAGGTATTTGCAGACCCATTTTTTAAGAAGCAAGAATAGACATACTGTACATGCCTGTGACACACCCTGGAACTGGGAATAGGAGGCTGTAAATCGGAATGTCAATAGGTGGAAAAACGTAAACAAAGCAGCCGTGAGGAAAAGAGTGCTCTTTTATTTACAGTGTGAAGTAAAATTAAATTCCAAAACACTAACAAAAGCCTACTCTTTGTTACTGACTAGACTTTTTCACTCTCCCTCTTACAATAGCAGTGTCATTGACATTCCTAAAACTCACATGTCCAAGATCTACAAAAGTTCATACTTGGTCAGTGAGTTGGACGTCTTCTCTTCTTCCCTCTCTCTGGTGCGGTTTTCCTAATAGTGGATCCACTCTCTGTTCCCAGAAAGCTGATAAATAATGAAATAAATGTTTTGTAACCTTACAGTTGACCAACCAGCCTCTCAGAATTGGTCAGGTGACTGATGGCAAGAGCTAATTCTCCACAGCATTCTGGGGAATGTTGCTTAGACATGAGTTTCCATGTTGTATGATCCTACCACCCTCTCACAATAATAATAATGTCTGCTCTTTGTGATTTATAGTGCTATACATCAGCCTTTTCCACTTTTACTGTCACTCTAGAAACTGGATTGCCCGCTTGTTCATTTTAACTCCTTTACTGAGGGTTTTTACATAACAGTGGATTTATGTACTTTAGGCAAACAATGAAAATGTAATAATTTTTTTTATAACAGGGAAACTCAGTCTGCAACTCTTCCCATTCTTTTCCCTGTAGCAAGTTAAGAGCCAGTATCTTGTTAAAATTGATGCTGCTTATTCTCAGTTAAATAATTAAAGAACTGGTTGTCAACGGCATCCTGCCATTTAGAAAACTTAAAGAATCTGAGGAGAATTTCCAGATTGAAGTGTATGGAACTCATATGACTGCCAATCTGTATCTGCTTCCAGGAAGAAGTTTGTACTGATGGCAAGATGAAGGTGCCTGTTATATTACAAGTGATCTTGGGAGGGTTCTGTGCCATTAATAATATTAACATTTTCCCTTTCATGTGCTCCTAGTCCAGGACCCCTGTCTTCCATAAGAGCTGCTATCAAGAGAAGTGAGTACTGAATTGACAGTTCTGTCAAGTATTGATTGTGTGCCGTACATATTCTGAACTTATAGCTATTGGACATATTGATATTGCTTTACGTTTTATGAACTCCAGAACAATGAACATTAACAGTAGCAGTATTCTTAAAATGCTTTCATTTAATACATGTGCTTAAGAAGCTCAGTGTTCTCTACATTTATCAGGAAGGTAGTATTGAAATAAGATGTGAGATGTGATAAAGGATAGATTCATTGCTGACAGAAACATGCAATAAATTCTAAAATGCCAAATAATGCCAGGCTAATTAATTTATAAAACTGGATTTCATTAGTTGAGCTGCTACATACAAATGAGAGACCTCAAGTAAATTAGCATTTTGCTAGCAAAGATGTGAAAAATGTCACCAAAATGGTGTTAATTCTTTTTTCTTTTTATTTTAATTTGACATTTTAGAAAATGTAATGTGACTATAATATAATGTATATATTTTGAAACTTATATCCATTTTACTTTGAAATATGATTAAAACCACAGTTAACCTGCACTACTGTGAAATAATATTAGTAATCTGAAAACTATTTTAATTTAGCAGCAACAACAAGAGCTAATTCACAGAATGATCCTCCCAGAGACAGAAGGTAAGCCTTCATTGTATCATAAGTTTCAGGACTGGTGCTCAGTGGGCAGCTCCATCAATATTGTTCTCAACCACTTTCATCCTGTTTCCCCAAGACAAATTGGGATTTACCAAGATTAATAGAAATAGCCTGCTGTGGTTTTCTAACAAAGCTGCTCATAAAAGGCATCTGGCTTGCATTCAGCTCATTAAGTCTCAATGAAGTGGATGTACTTGGTAGAAAAGCTGTGAGGTTTATCTACTCAGTCACTTGTCTTTTTATTTTTGGCTTTTCATTGTTTTCTTTTGAAAATGAAAGTCTCTTAAAATATCTAGCTATTCAGTAGAAACATATCTGGCAGAGGCATTTTTTATTTTACTCAATAAACTGGAATTTTTTAAAATAGATGTACAATGGCCATTTGTTCCTTTTTTACTTTGTCCTTTTTGAGTCTTTGAAAGTGGGAAAGCATTTCTTTTTCTTTTCCATTTTCCTTTTGTGCTTTATGAGGTACAAAATAAATAGATCACTCTTGTCCATAGATTAGGCAGTATTGTAAAATGTGATAGCTTGTTTTTCTCATTTGTATCTGTCTAATAAAAGACAAAAAAGTCAAATATTGTTTTTGTGCATCGGGATATATTTTCTCAAAACCTACAGTCAGGAAAGTACCTAAAATATTTTTAGAAAAAAATGTATAATGCAAAAAATGCTGCAGTGTAACATTTAGCTCTCTGTTGCCCTGACAAGCTTTGAGCTAGCTTGATATAAGGGCTGTAAGCAGTATTGACTCTAATATTTGACTCTAATAGTTTGTGTGTTTGGGAAGGGTAGAAACTGGCAAGATAGGGCATATTATATTCAGTATAAATTCCAATTATTTTAAGAAATATTATTATTGAAGTAGTAAATATACAGTATTCAGACAGGAAAAATATTTTTTTCAGTTTCTCCCGTGTTAGTGAATTCTGTCACAAGATGGGCATATTCATCCAAAGGAGCTACGCTATAACACCCTGTGTGGTTTGCGTTGCAGGCGGCCAGAGATAACTATTGTGTCAGCGGAGCCCCTGGTGTCAAATGCTTGGTTTTCTGGGGCAGCTGGGGGTTTTTCATCGCCTCATACCCCATCTCAGGGCATCTGGGGACCAAGCATCCCAGCATCTGCACAGGTAACCCTTCTCTCCCTGAGAGGCGTGGTAGCACTGCAGTCTGATTTGTGCTCTCCACACCCACCCCCACAAGACTCCTGAGTGAGGGTGAAATGAGCCTGGGCAAGCACCACAGTGTAATTAAAGCATGTTTCAATTGAATATTAACCCTCTCTAACTGGAGTGATATATCCTACATACAGTAAATCTCCATACACTACCTAGTGGGTCTTCAAATGGTTATATTGTTCCTCCTGTAGGTGGGGGGGGTGATTTCCTACGGATTAATGGCATGCAGGGAACTCAAGCACCCAGAATGAGTATTTTTCTCCCTTCCCTCAGATGACCTCCATAATCTCTTTTTAACACATTTCTCTGTAAAGCTGGTGTGTATCTGTTACATTTACACAAGTGCCTGGATACAGAAATGCGTCATAAAGGCTGCCTCCTGGTAATATCCACTGTGATGGTGTTTAAAGAAGCACATTTCTGAGAAATAGAGTACAAAACTCCAGTATTCTGGTTGTAGCATATAAGATGCTAATGTATATTGTATATGTAATTATGTATTATTTATAAGTACAAATTATCATAGTTTTATATTTCATTATAATTGGTAAATAAAGCATGGTTTTGCTCTAAAGGTATATCTGAATTCTAGGAAGGAAAACATTTAGGAACATGAACAGGAGCAGATCACACAGGAAATTGTGCCCCTCTCACAGGACGGAACATAATTTCCTTAATTTTCCTGGGATATCTGTCTGCCCCTTCTAAATAAGCAAGTGTTGTTTTCACTGAATTTGCCAGTAAAAGTTACATTATATTTCTGAAAAGATTTGTGTAGCACGAAGGAAAATTTTCCTGGGATAGCTACTGTACATCCTTGACGCTCATAGGGAGAATTCTCCAGGCGGGAGGATATCCAGTGATGGTGTTCCTCTTCTTCCAGCCACCACCATCGTATGACCAGGTGATCAGAGAAAAGACACAGGAGCAGGTCTGTCCAGCAGCCTCCCCTCGGCCTTCCACCACCACTATCGCCACACAGACTGATCTTGAAGACGTTTCTGCAGATGCAGGCCTAGGCGGTACTGGAACACCTCAGCCTGTTCAGGGTGACGCTGTGCCAGCTGCTGGTAAGCAGGCCTGTAGTGGTGACTTGGATGTTCTCCTACTGTGCTCCTTGCATGGGCTCTGTTCTATAGAGGCATAGTTTTTGTTTATTTGGATTTTATGAAATTAGGATTGTATTCTAATGTGGGGGAAAAATTGTCATCATACTTTCACTTAAAAAAGTGCTTTCAAATAACTATAAAAGATGAAGGAATTATGAGCTAATATGTACTACAGACTTCCTGGTTTTATTTACATAAATAAATTTAAGGACATACACATCCTGAAAATTAAAATGTCCTTTCTTTACTTTTGCTATAGGAAAACCTCCAAAACCTCCAAGGCCATCGTTGTTGCCACCCAAAACTAAACCAGTGGCAAGCAAAGAGACAGTTTTTGTAAAAGAGTCTGCTCTAGTCCAAGAGGAGACAACAAAACTTTCACCAATTGTTGGCTCCGAACAGTTGGCAGATTCCCAAAACAGTACGACTGAAAACCGAAATAATCCAATCGATTCCTGCAGTAAATCCCTGCTTATATCGGTGTCTAATCAGTGCGATATAGACCCCAGTCCCAACAAACTCTGTTCTGACCCTACTGAATTTCCTGGTGACCAGACTGAGTCTTTAGTAATCTCCACTGATCCTCAACCATCAGTTGACCCAGCTTCCAAGGAGGAAACAAAACGACCAGTTCCACGTCCGCGGTCCAAAATAAACCTGATACCTGTAACCAAAGAAGTCAAGGTTCAGACTCTGGTGAGATTTAAAGAGGATGACAAGGGAGAGGGCACTCATGTGATCCCTGATTGTGGGGAATTATCCTCAGGTACGTATCTGCAAGAACTCTTAGAGGTTTTTTCTGTAGACGACCAAAACGAAGAAGACAATATGAATAATTTTGGTAGCCAAAGAAATATACGTGCAAAGATACAGGCTTTTGAGTCCCAAGTGAGCACGGAGAGTGGCAATGGAGAACCTAAGAAACCGGAAGTCCGTCCTCGCCATCAGCTTGCCAAACCTCCAGTTACAGCTGCAAAACCAACTCTAATGCCAAAGCCTTCCAGTAGAAGTTTCTGGGAAGGGGACCTTGTGACAGCAATCAAACCAAGCCCAGCCACCAAGGATAGCCCCGTTATGGTCTTGCCCAAGCTGCAAGGAATGGACAATGTTTTCGATTCCAAACCAGAAGCTTCTAAGAGCCTCAATCCTAATGTAGTTTTTAGCGCTATGAACAATTCTAGCCACTTGGGGAATGGGAGTAAATCGGGCTTTGAAGATAACCAGAAGGAAATCTTCCAAGTTTTAGCATCTGCCACAAAGCCACTTGTCCCCATGAAGCCCACAGAGATGGAAAGTAAAGATGCAGTTCAGGCTGAAAGCCCTGTGTTTATACCACCACCTCGGAGGTTGGTCGCCTCCAGGGCGAAGAGTTTCATGGTGCGTGATTCGGGGGCTGTTCTCAGTCGCCCCACTCCTCCATTGTTGAGGCAAGCAAGCCTGGACCTGTTGACGTCAAATAACCAAGCCGCGACAGGCTTCTCCTTTGGTAACGGCACAGAGAGCGAGAGCGCGGAGATGACGATGACAGGTGAGTGGAGCTGCTTGTCCATTGCAGGGGAAGAAAGGACGCTAACCAGAGGATGCTCCTGCTCACTTTAGATTCTGTTCCGCCAGTGAATTGTTTCCTCTTTCCAGTGCTTGTGTTACCAATTTTGGATAATTAATTTGTGTCTTAACGTAAAGACATTTTTAGGTGATGCCTTTAATCCAACACAATATGTATTTAGACCTGAACTGAATAAACTTAGTGTGAAAACTACATAGAGACTTGGCATACAAAGTTCAGAGTAAACATAATGTAATAAATTATGTGTTACTACACGGTACAAAATTATAGCAATACATACAGTGACCCAAAAGATTACATTATAATATTAAGAAATGACGAGCAAATGTCTGAGAATTACATAAAAATTTGAGCATTTTATTATTTACACATCAATATGTACAGTAGATGTCACCAACCTTGATTAACTTTCTTTATGTTGTGGGTTTTATTATGCTTAGATATAATTTAGACTAATAAGATTAAGTATTATGTGAAATATTTTCTTTTCTAAGTCAAAGTTATACCTTTAGTAGAGGTTTTGAGTTTTGTAAATGCCTGTGTTTAGTGTGCCTCAGATGTCTGTGAATTTTGTTCTCTGGCTTTTGCGCTCAGTGATAAGTTTAATTTATCTGCTTTATTTGTCAGACTTTTTTTCCACCAAACCTCAGGGTGTAACACATAATGTTCCCAGTCGCCCAGGTGTGTCTTGTAAACCTACAATGATAAGAGTTCCCAGCAAACCCGGCAAAAGTGAGTTTACTAGATCTAAACTTTTCAGGGATCATTCATTCATAATTCTGAGTGGAGATAGTGAAACTGACAAAATATGTAGGACTAAATGTAATTTAAAGGGATAACGGGGGCTTTAAGATATTCTTATGTCTCATGTATGCAGTTTTTCTGTGTCATATAGTACTGTTATGAACCTGATTGATTTAAATTTTTAGGCCTGCCCTCAGCAGATCAGGACTTTCTTCTTCTGGGCTGAGTGGTATTCTATAGGAAGGAAGCATGTAATTTCTGGATCGGTTTTTGTTGAACAGATGCAGTTGGGATTAACACTGTAATGAGAAACACCCACAGTTTTTTTGTATTGTTGCTGAGGAGCTCCATTTGGGTTATTTTTAAAGCAACACAGTTGAAAGGGGGACAGTTTTAAAACTCGTATATTGGTAAAGGATTTATATTAGTTGTACCAAATGACATTTCAAGACCTGAAAAACAGATTTACGAATATGCTCCAAATAGAAGACTTCAGTCAATAAGCCTGTGATTTAAGGCCAAACACCTAAAGAGACTGGCCTCCCAGTACCATTGGTTTAAACTACCCTGTATGTATTATCATTGAGATAAGTGAATGATGTCTTTCAGTGCCTGAAGCAGATCAGCAGGACCCTCCACCTCTTCCTGTAGAGAAACCAGTGGGCGGTTTCACTTCTTCTGTGACCCAGAAATACAGTTTTGCCTCAAAACCAGCACCTCAGGTAATGTACAGTGTGGGATCTGTACCCAGAGGCAGCACTCCAGCAGTCCTCCATCTTTAAAAGACTTCTGAGACCAGGGATCATGTATTTGGTGTAATGGAAAATATATTTTTGTGACGATTCATGAATAGATTTGCAGTTATGCGATTGGTAATATTTAGGAGGAAAAGAGGACAGAATCAAACGTATTATTAGCAAATAAGAGTAGATGAGGGCTTGTTTCCATCAATAATTATGGGATAGATGAATGCCAAAAAAGCATTCATAACCGAAGACACTTTACAAATTATGCAATTAAAGCATTTTACTTAAATGCCATTAAAAAGAACCCACAAAGTTACCATTATATAAATATTACTTGCTCCAAATTGTCCTTCGCTTTGCTGATACACTGAAAGAGATGCTGACACTATCAGTAAGTAACTTTCTGTGATTTAACATCTCTCATGGAAGTTCTGTCAATTGATTCAGGTTTATGGAAAACGAGTTTTGTATTTGGTGGTCAGTAATGCAATAGCATCTAACAGCTTGAGATTCAAATCCTGAAATGTGGTTCAGTTTCCCGGACCAATACCTAATAATTAATATTAAATTTACAACTCATTCGGCTGTTAGTGCATATACTTAATTGTACAGGTCACTGCTGTAAATATAACAGAATGATGTATCTGAGAAGGGAGCTGATCGCACTTGCTCAGGATTGTAAAGGGATCTTCCCCATTCATGGCTGTACCCCCAGTGGCAGCATGGTAACAAACAAGGCTTTCTCTGAGCGCAAACCACCACTTCACATTTTTTTGGTCTGTGCCACTCATGCCAAGCGATGGTGTTTTCATTGCAACAAGGTGGTTATCTGTGTGGTGATGGCCTGAAAGGTTGACTGTTCTCTATGGTTGCATTGTCATGCAGCACTGTTCAGTGGTCAACAAATCTGCATCTTTTTCACTCATAGCTTTGCCAAGCTTTGCCATGATGCCAAGCCAAGTGCACATTCTGAGAATGTATTCAAACCACCATGATGACCAGTGTGACCAGGCAGAAAATGTAAATAAGATTCTGTGCTGTACTTAAAAGATGTAAAGGCAGAGTCTTTGTTCATTAACAGATTAGTTCTGCACTGTTGTAGAGCATAGTAGGAATGTAGTAAATAGCAACATTAATGGACAACCACACACTAGTGGCCATACAGTATTGCTATTGCAACAGTAAACCTCAGCAAAGTCAATAAAAGATTTGAAGTACTTCAACTCCAAAAGATTGTTTTTCATTTCCTTTTTAGAGTTTGTGTGCTCTCGAGTGCACAGGTAATACAAGTCTGAGTCATAGTATTTGTTCTTCTTTGTTTTCTGGTTTCAGGAGTCATGTAATTCAGAATGGTGGAACAGCTCGTCCTCTGAACCATGTCTGCCACCTCGGTGAGAAAGGTGTTTTTTTTTTTTATTCATGGGCAGCAGAAAGAAAGGACAAATCATGTACTCATGACCATTGCAATCTAGCAGACAAGATAGAGTCTGGAAAAAAAAACACATTTCCCCTGACATCTTGCGCCACCCACACAATGTGGCTCTAGTCCTGCAGGGCTGTGTGCCAGACAGCTCCCTCACCTTTCAGAGCTGTGGGGCTGGGGGAGAGCCAGTAACACAAGCTGTAGTGGACCTTAGTAATGGACTCTGTTCTGTTAGCCAGTGGACTCGAAATTCATTATTCCCAAGAAAAACACTGTTATCACAAGAGTGGATCATAAATCATTCCTCTTCAATTCTGACTTTAAAGGAAGCTCATACAACCCACCTTCTAGATTATGAAACATTGCCTGCCTGTGTCCTGCTGTTTGGTCTGATGCTCTGCATATTGATTGTGCTTTTAGTAGAGGTTTATACTTTTTTCCCCTCTTTTTGACAGGCCCAGTGGAGGCAAAGTCCTCCCACCCCGCCCCCCTCCAGCTAAAGGGGCTCCAGGAAGGCCCCCCCCTCCCAGGACCTCTGCGCAGCCCCTCTCCTCCAAGATGGGGGGTGACAGTGGGGTACCTAAACAGCCCCAGAGCCAGATGTCCAAGAAGAAAGGACCTGTACTGCCCCCAAGGCCCAGGCCTGGGCATCAGCTTTATAACAACTACACTGTAAGGACTGTCACCCTCGTTCTGGAGATCTTGTTTTCTTTTTAATGTGCTATTGATTCTCATTACTAATGAATATCCCTGTGACAAATACTTTGTCTAAAATCTGTTTGTGGTACATGGTCAGAATTTGTGTTTAAATCCACTTAGGGATTGCAGCTTTACCAAGGGTATTGTCTCAGTGAAGGTGTGTTCTCTTTCGGGCTTGTTAACCAGAAGAGTTCTTTGCTTTTGTGTTTTCAGGGTTCGTTTGGTCTTAACCGGGCTCTGTCCACTTGAACACATTGTTCTTCAGATCATCCATCTTTGTTGTATTTCTGTTTTCACTAAAATGCAGTTTGCTTTTTCTTCACTAAAGTTTAATTCCTTAACGTGGATTTGCCTTTGGCATCATCTGGCTTTGAAGCAGTAGCTTAAAGAAGGTGCTGATTTTCATGACAAGCCCGTAGGTGGCTGGTGAACAAGGTTTGAAGGAAAAATAAATGCAGTGTGCTTCATCATTCTGTCTTTGTCTTTAAAGCTTTCAGTGCCACATGGAATTGCAGAATATGACTTTAATGGCAGGAACCCAGGGGAACTCTCCTTCCAGGTAAATAATTGACTGTATGATTCAATGGCATTGTAAGCAAACTGAAAATAAATAGCTATCATTGAATCATTGTGGTAGTTGAAGTTTTAACTGTGTACTACCATAGGAGGATATTTATTGGGTTTATTTTGCTTTCTAATCTTTTTCGTTTGGAAATGGGATTCAGTTTTAGTAATACTGATGTTTATACCTCCTAATGCCTGAACTGCTATGATTGTATCAGTATTCACAACTACATTGGTCATTTTTTCCTGTGCCAGCCTGAGTCTTCAGAGAGCTGTACAGATATGGCTACTGTAATTTCCCTTTTAAAGAAAAAAGGTATACTGTAGTATTTCAGGACTCGTGAGTCTCCCATTGCTCATGACTTTTTTCCCACTCTGGGAAACTGATGCAACATGAGATGCACATAAAAACCTGTGAAGATGTAGGCATTGACTTGTATTGCACTATTTTGGATGATAATAGTACTGAAACTATCCATCCATCTATTTTCTAGACACTTCTTCCAATTTAGGGTCCCAGGGGAGCTGGAGCCTATCCCGGCATGCAACGGGCACAAGGCAGTGACACCAATCCAACTCTGGGCACACATAGACACAAACACACTCACACCAGAGCAGTTTTCCCAGAAGCCAGTTAACCTACCCAGTTGTGTTTTTGGACTGTGGCATTAAACCTGGGCACCTAGAGCAAACCCACATGAATGCAGGGATAACATACAAGCTCCATGCAGATAGTGCCCAGAAGTGGAACCCAGGGTTCCAGTGCTGCAAGGCAGCGATGTCATCGTGTCTCACTGTATTCAGATGGAATATCACATATAAATGTGAGTGACCAGAGAAGGCATTTGTGGGCTGAAGGAGCAGGTTTCTGACTCCCCAAGCATAGTCTCTTGGGAGCAAGGTCTAAGGTCAGCTGGAATTGACTAGGCTAGAGTGAGAGAGCATTCCTTAGCTAGATTTAGAGTCTGGGCCTCCATGGAAGACCTAGGGAGTCACCACAACTTTGTGGACCAGTACCCTACTGTGGCAGTCATGCACATTGTGAACCCTGCTGTCTGGATTAAACTCCAGTCTGAGCTTTTAGAGTCTGACCTTGCCAGTTCTTCTCAAATTTCCCACTTCATTCAGCTGGGGCATCCTCTACCACATCTGCTGTGTGGTGGGGTTCCTGGCAAGTGGCTGTTGTGCGTCACCCAGGTATGTGTTGCACTGCAGTGGGGGATGAAGTGCGTCCCCTCAAGTGTGTAACATGCATTGACTTCTCAGGGTTAAAAAGTGCGATGTAGAAGCAGGAAATTATCAAAACATTTTTCAGTATGCACATTCAAAAGAGGGAAAAATTACAGCTACCTGTATAAAAAATATTTTTTCTCAGCTTCTTCAAAGCCAGACTTTGAAAATGAAGTACAAATATGTATTTTATCCCTCTTCAGAAAAACGAGGTCCTGGTGCTGCTTGAGCAGATCGACAGTGATACATTTGTGTGCCAAGCAGGAGATGGCAAGGGCACAGTTCCCAAGTCTTACATGAAGATCATCACTCCGCTGCCCAAAGTGCCCAGCAGCACAGGAACATCCCAGGTATGGCCTGCTGTGGACCAGTGACCGAGGACAAATGCATGACTTTACAGATCAGTGCCAAAGGTATAGGTACTGTCCAAAATAAAGTGCAGTGTTCCATCAAGCAGATAACCATCTAGCTTGCACAGTAGGCAATATCTTGATGTGCGTCTTAAAAACTTCAGTTTAATTCTTATTTTTTTAATTTACATACTCATCAAAATTCACCATTCAAAAACAAACCAGTATAAGTAAACTATCAATCCTGTGGGTGTCATTTTGATACAGTAATCATGTTTATATTGACTTAAACCTGGAACCAGTTAATATAGACATGATCATGGACGCTGTTCATGCCATACTGACATACTCTTGCACTTAGGAACTGGAAAGAAAAATATTTTGCTTTTCTGGTTACTTTTAACTCAGCATCCTGTAAAGCTGAAGATTTACGTCATGTAATATTTTAATTCTTCTGTTCAGGATAAAACATTTCTACATGTGCATTTAATACTGGGTCATTCACCAGTAACTGCATGTGCAGCACAGTATCTTGTTGTGCACACAGTAGACTTTATGTCCTTTTGTGTTTCCTTTCCTCCAGTCCTCAGGTCCTGGGAGACCTCAGAAAGAGAGCAGTGGTCTACAGGCTCAAGTTCTGTATGACTTTACTCCAGGTAGTACATACTCATGTTCTCATTGTAGAGTATGCATAACTGTAAACCTTTTGTCTTTATTTTCTGCTGTTATTTTTTAATCATTGTTTCAAAAGCCGAGAATTATGGCTGTGCCCCATGTGATGTGTTTAATGCCTCAGCTGGAACACCGAGTTCAGTTGACTTGGGAATTTCTTAACCACAGTGGTGTAAACAGAAACCTTTTGAAACATTAAGATCAATAACCTCCTAGAAGAGGGTTGAGACATAAGCCAGACATAAGAACTCTTAATATTGTGAAACATTCTTAAATGCACAAAATGTGCTAAATTACTTCTTGAAAAGAAATGTATTGAAAAACAATAAACAGCCTTCTTGCTAATGTAGTCTCTGTAGCTCAATAGAAACAGACCAGTAGCTGTAGTGTAGCTTGTACCAGTTTAGCTACAAAAATATTTTAGGTCTTATAAACATTTGTACTTAAAATTAACTTGCGTTGTAAGGCCTTGGTTTAATATTCTGTAGTATCTATCCAATTATTTCCTTAGTGAAGTATTCAAAAACAGCATGGGTAGTTTTAAATAGTAATTCACTTCAGCAGCCCCTCACTAAAACTGTAGGTCTGGTGTACCAAAGCAAGCAGTTTGTGAGCACAACTGTGTCATTAAACCATAACGCACTGCAGCAGAACGAGGTCCAGATGAAAGACATTGACGAGGTATGGCATGTCACCTTCCAGGCAGTGTAAGGAAGGTCTGTATCTTGCTCTGTGGATACATGCTACGTATTCTGGTGATGTGCTCACTTGCTTTCACACAGCTTACAAAAAACAAGTAAAAGTGCTCACTCAGTGGTTGAACCCTGTAGTTTAAGTCTGGGCTGTCATTAGCCGTCAGTGAGTGGAATTCTTGGGCAGCTGCTACCAGTTGCTTTGGTCAACTGAGCCAGCCTGGGTGTTTCTCACACCAACAGGGACGCCAGTGGTTTACCAGGCGTCTGTGAATTTTGCTGTGTTGTCCTTTAAAGCCACACCCTTCCACTGTGGCTCACAGTGAGGAAAGGGCACGCCCGTCACTCATTCTTCCTGTACTGGCACAAGGCGTCCAGCAGTGGCCCGAGTCAGTGTAAATTGATGACTCCTTACTGAGGCAGTAGTAATAATAGGCAAATCCCAATGAACAAAAGCTATGAAAACAAACGGAGTGTTGTGGTGGTTGATGGGGGTTGTGTTTCATGGTGGTATTTATATGTCCGGTTGTCAGAGAGCCCTGACGAGCTGGCCCTGAGGGCAGGGGACACAGTGTCCCATGTGGAGCGCATCGACAGCGAGTGGTACCGGGGGACGTGCAGGGGCAGCTCTGGCATCTTCCCAATCAATTATGTCAAAGTCCTGGTGAGTGGGTCTGAGCAAAGCCTGCTCTCTCCTGCCTGCATGCTGGTAGTCTATTGAAGGGCTTGTTTTGGGTAATGTGACATGCACTCAACACAGGACAATAGGATAAGTCTCACAGGCTGGTCAAAAAGACTACAGTAATAGTCATATAGTACAGCAGCTCTTACTGCACTCGTAATACAGGCTATATACAGCAGTGTACTTTCCCATTTCTGTGATACTCTTACGCTGATAAGAATGTAGGAAAAAGCAGACTGCTTGGGCTCAACTTATGTTCAGATTTAAATCTTTGCTCTCCTAGCAAAATCCTTAGAATTAAATTCTTAATTGTCATCATGTCACTATTAAAGAACACTTTGGACTTGGTTGCCTGTGAGCAAAAGGAAAGTAACATCAAGGATATGATGTAGTATTGCAAGTTGCCTTCCTTCTTGCCTTTAAATAAACTTGTTTTTCCCCAAACAATATGGTAGGAAAAACCTTAATGTGTCTTTTGCATAATTCTCTATCATGATACATGCGATAGAATACACATTACATAAATAGATGCAATCTATATTACAGCATATATATTTTAATCTTTGTGTTCTGTTAGTCGAGCATTCCAGCGCCGCCCAATGGGAAGACTGATCGTCCTAAACCAGCACCCGTCAGGTAAGAATCTCAAGTGACCACAGGATTATTTTGAGTGTAATATCAAGAACATGAGGTACATAACCTTAACGTATTATAATTCACAAAGCTTCTTTCTCCATTCTCCAGCTGATTTTATTTTTACAGGGACCTTGTAAGCGGGTGTATATTCACTAAGCATTAGGGCTTTCAACTAATACTAGTCAAAAAGATAAGTACTTCGGTGTAGACAAAATTGTTGTCGTCTTAACATCTGGCAGAGGTTAGTGTCGTACTGTGCTGCTCGAAGAATGCAAGAACTGTTATTGTACAAGAGGAGGCCATTTGGCTCATCTAACCCATTTGATAGCTAGGATCGTATTGATTCAAGGATCTTATCCAGCTGTTTCTTGAATAAAAACAGAGCATTGGCTTCAACAGCATGTTCCATACTCCCGTAACACTTTTGTTAGAATGAAATATACTGTTGGCTTGAGGAGGTGGGGTTTTGTATTTCTCATTCTTCAGTGGTCCAAGGTGTGTGGCCAGATTTGATTTTGAGGGGGAGCAGAGTGATGAGCTCACCTTCTCTGAAGGCGACGTGATTAAGCTGAAGGAGTATGTAGATCAGGAATGGCTCATGGGGGAGTTTGACGGCCGCACTGGACTCGTCCCCCTGAACTTTGTCGAAATCGTGGAGGACCTGCCTTCTGTCCACAGTAGAGTACCTCTTCCAGGTAGGGTTCCATATGCCTGGCTGGAGTAAAACACAGCCAGTTTACAAAGATCAACTTCCTATCTAGGAAAATGTCATAGACAAGAGGCATTAGAGTTCCAATAGTTTTTTACCAGATGACTTGGGTATGGCCGCCGACACTATTGTTAAGTCAACTGAAAAAACCTTGGGATGTGGCCAAAGTCCAAATTTCAGATAATTCCAGGAATTTCGACATACCTTTTAGTTTTTCCATTGATAACTTTAAAGGTAGAGGGAAAAAAATTGAAGCACTTGTATAGGAGATATAGACTTGGAAAGGCCATAAACGGAGTAGCAGTGATGCAAAGTGACTGACACTCTACTTACACTTTCTTTAGTTTATCAAGGCTTGGTTCACACAAAACTTTATTTTTATGTATTGGTTTAATTAATTCATTTTCAATTTGTAATTGCATGCCTTTCATTTTTGATAAATTGTCGTTTTCTTAGGGCTGGATTTTAGTACGTATGATTAATGGTTGATTTTCGTATGTCAGGTCTGGGTTCATCAATCAAGACAAACAACCAGGCTGTTAAAGCTAGTCAGGTAAGGTGGAATTGGCAGCCTCAGTTATTGCCGCACACTGAGAAGCAACATGCAAGTGTCAGACGGGGCAGACTTGGTTTGATTACAGCATCCGTAAGCAGTGTTCTTCTCCTCAGTCCCAGGCTGCGCCTGCTGCTGCCGAGTGGGGAGTTGCACTCTATGACTACACGCCACACACGGAGGAAGACCTGTCTTTAAAACAGGGCGACTACATCCTTATCACTGAGGAAATAGATGCAGACTGGTCCAGGGGGAGGCTCAATGGCAAGGAGGGCTTCTTCCCAACTTCTTATGTCCAGCGCTCTGCAGGTATTGCTATTAATTATAAGCCCCTGAAACAACGCACTGTTCTGTAGGTCTCCTTTCTTCTTGGATGTGATTCAATGTTTTTGTGGCTTGGATTCAACAAGTGTGGTGTAGGTGAATGGACAAACTCTGTACTCTTGGGATGAATCCATCTGCAACAGAAGCACTTTTACTGTAAGCGTCTTGAGGAAAATAAAATTCTCCATATGTTTGTTACGATGTGTGTGATACATCCTGATCATATATTACAACTAGTGTTATGAAAGCCTTAAAGTGAAGACCATCATTTAATAAGTGGGAGGTCTACCCAGACACTGCTTTGATCTGACAGCCTTCCACACCAAGCAACTGGTCAAGCAGAAAAGTGGTTAGTCACTTTTGTCACAAAGAGAACAACGACTTTGAAAGACTTGCAAAGTTCTGTCTGAGATGGGCATCGTTGTTCATATATTAATAATGTCCTTGTCCCTCCACAGTGTTGATCTATATGGAGCCAGTACTCAAAACGATTCCTCTTAAATTTAGACGTTTTTTTTGTTTCAGAGAAGACCATAATTAACCTTTTTAGTCTCAATGTGATGTGTTACATCTGGCACAAGCCTGTTAAAGCACATTGCCAAATTAGTATCCTCCCAGATTTCAAGAATGATGTTGGCAGCATTATGTTCTAGTTATGCTTTTGTTTGGCTTTGACTGGGAAGCTTGTTAGAAATGAAGGAAAAATGGATGATGGAAAAATACAGGAGAATACTAGAGGAGAACGTAGCTTAGCCTAACCTAACCTTCCCTTTTACTGACTTAAGGGGATGAATTGTAATTAGTAATTATGCAATCAGTAAACTTCAATGTATTCTTTGTAGATGTTTTTTTCAGCCTGTTTTAAAGTTGCTTTGGTAGATTTTGCACATGCTCAGATTCATATCCAATAGTGTTCATTTTCATTGTTAGTTTAAGAAAATTCTGTTTGGAAAAACAAACTTTTTATAAATCAAAATGTGATGCTACCAGGGGGATCAATAATTTTGCAAGACACTGTTTGTATGAATATGCTTGTATTGTCTCCACAAAATCACAAGTCTTTTTTTAGAATAGGGAAAATGCTAACTCTTCTAAGATCATGACTTCCATCAGGAGCTCTTTCATTTTATAGGACATTTCAGGTTAAAGAAAATATAACTTTCTGATTTGTAAGACTAATCAGATATTTGGTCATAAACTTGTTTTCTTTAACATTTTGTTTTTATTTCAATGCATAGCATGTATCATGCTCATGAACTATAAAATGAATGAAAGTAGAAGATTGTGCCTGAAAACGTAAGCCAATCAATGCGTTTCATACATTTGTTTTTGTTACTGCCACAAAATATTTATTTTTTTACTTGAAACTGGGTGAAACAGCTGTCTCTGATGCTTCTCAACAGGTTCACCTACAAGTGGAAATTCACAAACTGGGAATAAGCAGGGAGGAAGGGCCAAAGCTTTATTTGACTTCACTTCAGAGAGTGAGGATGAGCTCTCAATGAAGGTACATCCTGCAGAGGGACAGTTTTCCTGTGCTTTCATTGCTGTTGTTCCAGTAATTAGAAATTCCACAGTGGCTTAAACATAATTTTAGGGAATTTCAGTTAGAAGTTTCTTTTTACATTACAACCGTGCCTTCAGATTCATAAACAAAGTGTCTTTACTTTCGTAATTCGTTTTTTGGGCCTTGTGTTTTTGTTTAGGCAGGAGATATAATAACAGCTCTGGAGTCCGTGGATGAAGAGTGGTTTGCTGGAGAACTGAGGGGGAAGTGTGGCCTGGTTCCCAAAAACTACGTCCAAGTGCTGCAAGAACCGTGAAGGAGTCTCGCTGACAGTTCCACACCTGAAGAAACTGAAATATTGTAATTGCATTACACCTGTGGGCGTTGACCCCCCGGATGAGAGAAGAATATGACAATCATCAAGAATATTTCAAACTGACCTGCAGATGGTCTCTTACTGACTGTCCCCTGCTCATGCTGTGCATTCAGGGTTTTTACTTAATTACAAAAGTGCCTTTATGAAAAAATGTGGCATTGAACCACTGAAGTATTCTTCCATCTGAACCTAAATATTGGAATTGGGGATAATATAATTATGAGACACTAAAGACTGCATTGCTGCATTAATGACCATCATTGTCATAAGTAACCTTTATATATATATTTTTAGACAAAGATTTTAAAACTTTATTTGGTATTCACACTGAATAATTACGATTTGAATTGTCAAATTTGTCTCAAAGTAAGTTTGTCTCACATAAGTGTGTGTTTTCTCACAAACTCTGACACAACAAAACACACATACTGCACAAAATTGATACAATGCGTGTCTGAAGATGCCTACCTCTCACTATGTTGCCAATATTTCCCACACCAGCCAAAAAAAAACAACTGTTTCTTAGTTCTTATTGGGAGTTTAATACTGCAAAAGCTAGAATAAGGTACTTTATGCAGTTTAATTTTTCATGACTGGTACTGTATTATCTAAACACCCCTTTTCAATGAAATTCCAGTAAGAAAAATATGAATACTGTTAAACAGTCTGTTTTTTTACTTCATACACCAGAAAGCAAATATTTTTTCTGAAAGGTATGTTGTTTTTTAATCACTTAAGAGTAATGTGCAATAATTTGTCCTTAGACCTGTACTAGGTGATAAATATTTTGGGAGTTCTGGGGTACAGTTCTGATTTGTGTTAAAATGTTGACTTTTGTTTTATTGCCATCTAGAGGCCTTAATGAGTATAGACTTTCAGGCCTGTTCTGAGAACATTGCATCATGTGAAATTAAACCCTGTGACATTTCCATTAACTTGCAAATTGATTTGGCAATTCTATCCAAATACAGGAGAAAGCAAGACTTTTCTGATTTCTAGTTAGTCTCAGAAAATGTTGGCTTTTCTTATGGTGATCATTAACATGGGAATGAGCTTAAATCTAATTTAACTATTGAATTCCAGTTGAATTTATTTCCCTTTAAAGTCAGTTGAGTTTACAAGTTTTTTTCATTAGTGGAATGTCTTGAATGCTTAAATGAGATTCCTGTGTTCTTCCAGTTTACCATGGGAGGGCTGTGAAATGGTTTCTAATGCAAATTGAAATGTAATTACTGTATTTTAACCTGATTTTTATTATTTACAAATAAAGTATTCACCTTTCAACTTTGAAAACAAAGGATAGTGAAGACATCCTCTAACAACTTTCCCTGTAGTATTACACTTCATGTGATAATGGTGGTTTAAGATTATTGAAACAGAGACTTGACATTTCTTTAAATTAGTAGCTTATTTTTACATAGTTCTGTAAATATGTAATTGAAAATCCTGGTTAGCAGATCCAGATTTTTAGACATGAAAAGCAGCAGTATTAATTTCTAGTTCTGGAAGACTACAGCACATATTTTAGATGGAGGTTCATAATCTTCAATGAGTAAAGATCTGGGAATTGCAATGAAGCATTTAGGGTGGAATGAAAAGCAAGACACTGCAACTCCTAGACCAGGAATGATCAGGGCAGTGGTTTGCCAACTTGTGCCCGAGTCTTTTTTTTTTACAACTGGGCCCTTAATTTCAAATGCTAGTTTGGCTCAAAACTGATCTGCTTACCTGCTACATTATTCAAACCTGTACACAAATGAAAATAACAGGGGTGCTTTACTGAAATGGTGCAATACCTTGGATTTGGTCAGAAGTCCAATCATTTTGAAGCAGGTTTAACATATTTAGGAGGAAATTATTTTTGTTTTCCAGGTCTTTTTAAAGTACCAGAACAGCCATGTTGAAAAACTGGATCCTAATGCCCTCCAGAACCAATACTAGGAACTCATGTTTTTGAGACTTGTAATAAAGCTACTTCTGTTTTAGAACTTATTGGGAATCTCCAAGACTCTTAGCTTCCCAAACCAGTCCTCTGCAGTACTTTAATTCATCCAACCCAGCAACTTCAATACCACACTCTGCTAAGCTCCTGCCCATGCAGCCTAGGATATTTCTGGAATAGCAGAAATTCAGTCATTACTACAGTCAAATCTGCCAACAGCTATGAATTCAAAGAAATACTACTATAACAATCTATAACTGGAGTTATCACTACTCCAGGGGGCATATACCTCTGCCCAAAATGATTGCAGCATAAACAGGTGATAACAGGTGGTGGAACAGTTCACAAACAACTCCACCATACTAGTCATTAAGGCACTAGGTTCAAACTGGCTTCAATGCTGCTTGATATCCACACCATAAACCATTTTTAGTCCTACATTTTCTCTTACTGGACCACTTGCATTTCAGTTCCAGCTTTTCATCTCATTATTGACACATAAGGGGAATTTCATATATGCAAGTTACCTATCAAGCATTTAATCAAATCTATACAGAACTAAAGCAAAAATAAGACTTTATATGATGCAAACTGTAAATTAAGAGATTCAAATGTTAAAAAAAAACAGATAGCAAGTCTAACCTTTCAGAAAGTGTGTAACTTTAAAGGCACCTTACAAGGAAGAAACTATTACAATAAGAAGGTTAAGGCAACTTTCAGGCTTTTGAACATTTTTATTGAATTTTGCTGATTCCGAAGACTCAGACGGTCTCCTGGACAGGGGGCTCATAGCCATCGGCCCTCTCCACTTTAGCACCAGTGTCGTCTCCAGCAGGCTTGGCACTGCTGCTGCTGCCACCTCCCTCGCCGTGGAGCTCCATCAGCTTGCCCACTGCAACCAAGAACAGCGACAGTCAACACCGGGCAGCCAGCAGGGCTTCCATATCCTACTAACCTCTATCCTGAGAAGCCCATTTCCAACAGTAGGAACATTCTAGGGTTACTGGACAAACCATAAAAGCTTTGAACAGGAACCATTCCACTTCCTTCCCAGTATCCCAGTCTTAGAACACAAATACTATGAAGTACTAGACAGGGTTGTCATACAATGGCACCATTATAATACCAAGCCTTCTCTTCCACTGCCATGACAACACAACAATGGTTTTAAAGGCATCTATACTTTCTAAAAAGGATGATTATTGCTTTGGTTTGAATTTTGACATCACACTTTTCAAAGACTCGGAACAGCTGCAGACAAACTGCAAAATTCAACTAACAACCACACCTTTTAATCTAGTTACAGATGTCCTGTGGTATTTCCCTACCAGTTTAAGATGCACTGGTTTGATGAATGCCAAACAGGCACTGGGCTTTCACATTAGTCACAGGTAATGTTAAAATTTGCACTTACACTCAAACTTGGGCTTCTTGAGCATCTTGACCTTCCTGACAAAAACATCATGAAGGGGGTAGATGGACTGGCAGGCTTTCTCAATGTCCTTGCCAACACTGTCAGGGATCCTGAGAGACCAAAGACACACACAGGTGAAAGAATGTCACCGATCAGCTGAAATCTAACAAAAACACTGCAGCTACACAGCCCAAAGCGAGGCTTTAAATGTTAATTTAATAAGTATTTTACCTTTTCACACTGAAAGCCACGGCTATAACTATGAAATCGACCATTTACCACTGAATTCTGACATTTACAGCGCAGTTTCAAAAGTTTCAATTCAAAACACTTTCTTCATTCCCAAGGGAAAATGGGAGGGGAAGGGCTCTTTAACATTTCCTATAAATATGCATCTATGTATCCACATGGACGAAAAGTATATTTTAATCCTTCAGGTGGAATAGATTAACTGCCTAAGTAAGCAAATTCTGTTCAATGTTCACTTTAGTTAGGATATGTGCTGATAGTATTTCTTGCTTATCTGACCAAATTTTTAAAAAAATGTCAACTCTTGGGACTTCTACAGCACTTTGCATTCCAAAAGATCCTAAAACACTCTACATTTAAAAGGAGATCCAATTCATATACCACTTAAATCGCACCCATAGTACTTGTATTCCTGAGGCACTGATTCGATATTCAGCAGTAGATAAAGCAGGTAACTTACAGCTTGTTGACAACTTCTTTGAGGTCGTTGGTCTGCACCTCCCGAGTCATAATTTCCATCATCTTCTTGCGGATCTGGCGGACTTGCTGGTGCTGAGCATAAGAGGTCTTACGGATCTGGTTGGCACGCTTCTTGGTGAAGCCAACACAGAACAGGCGGAGCAGGTAGCCATCTGTAGTCTTAACATCCACATGGGCTTCAATCATGGTCTGCAAGGGATCAACAGTTTGTTGCTCTTACTGACGGCTCTTACTCCTACCCAACTGAAAGGTGCCACAGCAATAAAATCATTTGGAAATCTTAAGACTCATGTAATTACCTGCCATTTCTTGACCATGGAGCACATCTTGTCACGGGTCAGATCCATTCCATGGAAGTTGGTCAGACAGTTCTTACCCTGGACATCTTCCGTGATCAGCTTGAACTTGCGGAAGGCCACCTCGTCGTTCTGCAGATCGGCAAGACTCACTTCAAACACACGGCCCTTCAGGCCATCTGAGGCAATCTCTGCACAGGAACAGGACACACTTAGCAAACTCTTTCCATCATGAGCCAGAAGACCACACTGCACCACGTGGGAACATCAGGGGATCTCAACGATAATCACCGATGCTCATTTGGGACCGAAACGTTGTCATCATATGTTCCCACCTATTCCCCATACAAATCACATTGTAAGACACAAGCAATGAAGAACTCCAATAATACAAGGTTAACAATTATCTATCTAGATATAGAACACAAATTGTGAAACGAGTGCTGCAACTGAAAATATGTCAAGTTAGTCAACTAAGCAGAACTCAGCCTTAACACGAAATCTAAAGGGCAAGGGAATTATACACTCCAATATTAGAAGCATTACAAATACAAAGCAAAATTAGCAAACACTAGATAGACTGTAGAGAATGGAAAGCTTACTGGTGCCCTGTGTCCTGGTGACCAGAGTCTTGCCCAGGTTCCTGATGTTGAACATAGCTGGTGCCTTGACATCGTACCAGTCCTTCTTGGAGAAGGGGTCCACCCTAAGGGAAAGCAAACACTTTTCACATCCTTGCACAGACCACAGAACTTCTCTGCTATTGAAGTTCAATCGATCTCAGAATCTCCGAAAATTCGATTCTGACAGACCAGGCTCCTGCAAGGGTGATGTTGAAGCGTTGAATTGGAACGAAACGACAAACTGAAGTAGCTAGTTACAGGCAGACACAACCTGCCCCACAGGATTAGCCCTGCTTCTGGAGAGCAGCTTGTGTCTGCAGGGTCTCCAGGTCTCTTTAAAATCAACAGCATCTGAAGAGCTGGGAGAATCTGTTAAATCAAGCCAGTTAAGCCAAAAACTAGCTACTTCAGCTTCTTAAAGAGTTGAATACGAGCTGAAATAGGAAAGTGCTAAGTGTGACAACAGGGGTGCTACTCAAGAGATGTTACGAGAATGACATATTGCGGTTACCATTCCAAAAACAGATTTCATATCTCATTTCAATTCTTGCATATATATCTTTACACTCATAGATTTTTCATGTTTTTTTTCTGAAGCAATTACATTCAACGGACGATGCAATCCAAGATTTCTTGAAATAGTTCTTACATGAAACTACCAATACTACACACTTATAAAAAACAAACCTAATGACTAGACGTGACCCTCACTTAGCGGTAGCAATGAAGAGGACAAAACTGAAACTGTGGTCTGTGCACACAGTCTGGACCAAAGTAGCTTTCAGCGATCAGGCACAAGGTTAACACTGGGGCTAATTTTTAGGGTTGTCGCAATCGAAAGGGCCAATGCATTTCAAGTCTGTGTACGAAGCCTAATAACCAATATAAGGGCACTTTGACTACCCAACATGGAAACATGATTTCTAAGATGTAGCTCTACTGTAACTCTCTGCCTCATCCCAGTCTCCCGGACACAGGCCCGAGCGTGAAGCGAGCCGGTCTGAAGCTGGACCTACACTGACGGGCCAATGAGTGACAAAATAAGTAAAAAATAAACTTTGCTTTATGTATTACCATGATATCAAAATGCTACACGTTGCCTTAGACACGTTTCTGCTGAACAGGACATTTTACTTTTTACAGTAACTATAGGAACACCGCATACCGACCTCAGCACAACTGAGGAACGTCATCCAATGGATATCTCTTTCATCCTATACGCTAAAAGAACAGGAGCCTATGCTATCGGTTCCAGAGAATTCATATTAGTATCAGAGATGAACATTGGGTAACTTACACCTTCTTCTTGGCACCTTTTTTTCCCCCTTTGGTCAGCCTCTTGTTCTTGCCGACTGCCATGTTGGACTCAGAGAGTGAAAGAGGAGGAAATACGTAATAACGCGAGAATTTACAGCGAGATCGGAGCCGCTCTCCCACTCTCGCGGGAACTTCTCCGAGAATACCGCCACCTGCTGGAAGCTCTCTACGTAAACAGCAAGGTGTCTGCCTGCACATGAGATCTCGCACACTAGAGGACCAGAAACATTATCTCGCAATATTAGCGTGGGAGACTGTTCTAAACCAGCATAAGAAGGGTGGTCTGAAATAATATAACTGAGCATTTCATTCAGTGATGTTGAGATTTGTACTTCCTTTCATTTTTGGAGATTTTTGTTCCGATTTTTAATATGTATTGATTCCCATACTAAAACATTTTATTAACTTTTAGAAAAAGATGTTTTTGAAAAACATTCTTTTGAAAAAACACGTTTTTGAAAAAAACTTTTTCGCACTTTTATATGCTTGCCATTAAAACTGTACCCAAATGAATCAATTCCCCCGATATCTGAACATATAGACATACAGAGCAATGCAATACTAGCACATTTGGAAAATATGGGTTTATGTCTTTTATTTAATGTTACATTTATTTTAATTGAATGTTTATTGGTAGTTTTTTTTGTACCGGTGTGTGTAAAACATCTTAAACTTTTTAATCTTAATCCTTAATCTTTGCATCAGATTTCTATGAAATTCAAACTCCGGTCCAACATAAGATGTTGACACAGAGTATAAATAACCGGGGATAAACTGAAAGTTAACGAGTCTTAAAAGTCTAATAAAGAAACCAATATGTTCAAAACGTTTTGTTTCCTCAGAGAAGCGAGAGTTTCCGTGCCGTTCAACAGCTTGATCTAAAATTTTCCCAAGAAAAGGCAAATCACACATTTTAGGTAGCGATGTGCCGGCTGCAGCTTTATATGCAGTTTGTTTTCATTCCAAATTTCGAGGAATCGCAAGGGGCAAAGCGAAGAGAAACACGAACAAAATAGAGCGAGCGTGGTCCGTTAAACAAGATTTAGAATAGATTTCATAACTAATAACGAATTAGTAAAAACACGTGGGAGTAAGTTATGCATAGATGCGCTCTCAGAGCAGACACTTGCCATGTATACTCCAGTTTACAAGAAACGTCCTTCATAGAGTGTAGAGCTATGATCAGTACACAGAGCACTGAGAATATGGGAAATAGAGTTTTAACAGAGGGCAAATGTATTGTGTAACGCAACGGGGGTTCAGGCGGACGCCCTTGCCGCATTAGGTCGCCCGCCCCACCGTCGGCAGGTCACTCAGCAGGTCACTCACAATTGTAACGCTCACGGCCACCATTGAGTGTGAAAGCCGGCTTACCAGAGCGGTGACGTCACTGCCCTTCCCTGTAATAGCAGGACCACAGCCGCTGGGCTGAGGGAAGATCGCTTTTTAGCTCGCCAGGCTGGGTCCCTGTTGGGTGACGCCAGAGGTCCGGGTTCGAGTCCCCGATGGTGGGGGACCGACCTGACGCGGCAGCAGGCGAGGGTGCCCACGTGAACCCCGAAGCGTTACAGTATCAACTGCATGTGTTAGGGAGGAGTTGAACTATGCTAAGGTCCACAGAAATATGACTGGGCAGCTTCTTCCATACTCCTGCAACACGTGAATTAAGAACTGTGTCCTGTTCTTAGTTTTAAGTGCATTTCCTGAGTAGTTTCCACTTATGTCCCCTAGTTCATGTTTAAATGTTGTTTTGAGGATGTCCATGGAACAGATTTTGCCAATGCCTTTGAGGATTTTAAAATACTTGAAAAAGATCCCCCACCTTTCCTTTTAAAATTTAAAAGGCTCAGTTCTTTTAACCCGAAAATGTAGGAACTTCAATAACTCCAGGAATGTATCCGGTTGCTCTTCTCTGAGCTGATTCCAGAGCAGCAATATCATTTTGTATCTTGATGACCACATTTGTGCAAAAACAGTGTCAACAAGATCTCATATAGTACCTAGTTGTAACAGAACATCCCTTGATTTAAATTCCATTTATTTAACTGTATTGCATATCCTAAAATTCTGTTTGCATTTTCTACCACAACTATCAGGCCCCCACATGCCTGAAAGTTGGAAAGGATGGATTTGCTTCCTGCATCCAACATACTGCTCTAGTCCACATTAGATATAATCTGACAGGTGTTTGCCCAGTCCTCAGAGCCAAAGACAGAATAAACCAGAAGTCAGAATTAAAAAGAATACCCATTTAACCATTTATAAGACCTCACCATGACAGAAATACAAAAAAGAGCTTTTTGACTAAAACATGGCAGTAACTATTCTCCAGCTCTAGGGCTACTTCACACTGAGGTACAAACAACAGAACATCAGGTTAAAGGTTCACTGATGGAAACTGGGTTTTAACGACGTAACTGTGCCATACATTTCCAGAAAGCATCTCGTTCACTGTACAAAGAAAAGAACAGGTGACTTTACTCTGACAGCAAGCTCTTTTGCCTTTGACCGATTTTTACATTTACCCTGTCAGAGACCAGTTAACCACAACACATCACATGCGACATCAGCCTTCTGAGCCTCCGAACAGCTTCTGGGTATTTGAACACAGCAATAGCCATTTCAGAGATCATTGTGGAAGAAGAGACAGTACACAATTTCCTATGACATGACAATTAAATATGAGCCCTATGGTAAAACCTTATAACCCTGCAGTATTAATGTCTCGGTGAAAGGTCCACTTTACAGCAGTTGCTTCATGATTTGCCTTTGCTAAATTACTTATTCTATTTTGACACACTCTACCCCCTGAGAAAATGATTCCTCTGGGCTATGCATCTGCTTTCATTGAGTCAAAGCCAACCAACTAAAAATGAGCAGCAACCCATATATGATACAATTTATGAAATTCAATGTGCATTCTTTCCTATTTAAATTGTTTTTCTAATAGGTCACGACAACATGAAACTACATCATACTCGAGGAAGTGATTCTTTTTCCAATAATGGTTCTTATGTGCAAATAATGTAGTTGAAAGGATAATGTAATTCAGTATGGTTTGATTAAACTAGGAAAGAGGCTCTTGAGAATCTCATCTCTCTTTCAAAGGGGTTTGGTCAAGAGAGTGCCACTGCATTTTAATACAGCAGTCATAATAGATAGAAAGGAAGAAGCTCAAAGGTTATTAGTTCACTTGAATGTGCCTTGAACTCCTTTGACAATGACTGCAACTGAAAAGCCTAGACACTATCTCAAGACTGTCAGCTTTATCACTTCTACTTGTTTCATGTAATGACAAATTGTAAAGTAAAAATAAAATCAATAATGTATTTAGGTGTAGAATATATTGCCCTTTCCCAGAAGCTTAATAGTACAATGACACTCCTAGTCTATATAGAATACTGTGTTTTATTCATGTGCTCAAAATTGCTTAATGTTCTAGAGATGATAATATCTATAGACAGCTAACAAATATACAGTAATTACAGTGATGATAGGAGACCAGGTGACATACAGTATGGGTTGGAAGAAGTTCAAGTAGGTAGCTGTGTCAGCATGTGTAGGCTGCAAAGGAACAAGTTGTCCTCCTCTTAAGGGCGCTCCAGCCCTTCCTCATTCTACCTCATTCCCCACACCTGTCCCTTATTCCAGCCCCTCTTTAGTTCCACCTTAAAAGCCAGACATAGACATCACCTCATTGAATCGTGTTTCAAGAGAGCCCGGGGTCCTGCTGCGTCTGGCTCCGTTATGCTTTTAACTCTCTGTTCCTGATTCCCCTTGCTGGTTCCGACCCGGTTCCTGTCCGCCCCCGGATGGATCGCCTGGCCATGGACTTCAGCCCTTGTTTCTGATTACCCGTTTGGATTTCCTATATGGATTGTTTGCCCCGGACTTACTTCCCCTGGGCACCTGCACTCCTTGGACACGCCCCCTTGTCTCCATCCCTTTTCCTGCATGATTTTATTCCTACTGTGTCTTCACCAACCAGATCGTGTTGTCTGCATAGGGCCCTGAAAGAACTGCTGCGTGACGCAAGTAAAGGTTTATTCCATGTTGAAAAGAGAAGAGAAAAAACACCATGTTTCGGCTGTGGAACCTTCTTCGGGTGTCAAGTGTCCAGTTCCTTAATGCAGAGAACGATAACTCAATCATCTTTTACAGAAAAAAACATCAACACCCCTACTGCTGTACCTCCACTAATCCTAACCTTGTTGTTACTATACAGTATGAATTTTCACCTTTAAGAAAACTCAGTGACTATAGCAAGGGTGTTTTTTGATAGACTGTATATGACATCCTATTTGTGTTCCATAGTAAACATAACAATATCTGTATTCTCTGATAGAGTATTAGACAGTTTTGCATATTAGCATTAGAACAGGTCAGAGGTAATGAGCATGGGCATTTCTTCATACATTATAGCATATCATGTTTCCTGTATGTATTCCATAATTGCCATGACTCAATCAGAACCCCATTAAGGAGTTATGAGACAGTTTTGTCATCCTCTATGGTTAAGGAAGAGGTCACAGACCAGGAAATTTTGCAAGTTAATTTTTGGATTTGCATAATCAAGATAAAATACATTTTGCATTTGAGCAGAAGGAATAGTCAAATCGTGATCAAAACAGGTTTATTCAGTTGTGTAATAACCTAACACTGTAATGGACTGTCATTTTGTGGACAGGGACAGGGTAGTTTCCACGAGCTACTATTAATCGGTAATTATTCACAAACCTACAACATTCTACTATAGACATACTGTATGGTATATTGCACCAAAGGTAGAAATAGGAAATTGTATTAATGTTAAGCATGACTCAAATTTGACTAGGTGATTTTGGTTTTTTAATGTAGTAACTTGTAATATCATAGTAGCTACACAGAAAACATTTGAATTATTTTTTACAAATCCAACATAGCAGACAAACAATGTGACCGATCAAACTGTTAAACTAAATGTTGAGCATTAGGTAAAACTGCTCATATCATATCATATCATATCAGTACTTCAAGTAGTAACACAGTTTCACTCAGAACCACCTTCTCGTTACCCTCTGCACTCCTATGATGAAACACTAGTTGCAC